GTTACGTCAAGTTAATATAAGTTATAAAGATACATCGATGTTTCATATCTCTCATTATTTTAGATCAATATTTTATTTTTAATTTCATTTTTCAAGTGAAGATTATATTATCAGATTTATCAATTCAACGTAAATTTCATAGTCGAAATGTTTTAATCGTACTGGCAATGTAGAATTACAAAACCGTTTTGTCCCCCCAGCAAAACCGTTTTGTTCCCCTAACAAAATTGTTTATGTTATATGATATCTTACTAATTGTAAGTAAGTATCTTATACTCAGTAAGATATCTTACTATCCAATTAAATATAATTAAATACAATTAAGCTGCGTGCTTTATTGTACGTAATTTTTAAAAGTGCTATATTTTACTACACGAAATTAGACCGTATCTCTCTTCAGCAGAAATGATGGATGGCGATAGCAAATAATTGTTCTCAAATATTTAAACATAGTGACGTGGGTGAATATACTTAATAATTATGAGCAAGGCTCTATTCCCACTCACGCAAAGATAATTTACTTCTTATTTTATTTTTCTTCTTTCCAGATGAGAATCAGTTACGGGTAATTTCATGCGTGCTTGGCCAGGGGGCTGTCCGTTACATAGAAAATGCAATTTTAATTCCTCGTACGCCATATGATGCAATGCGGACAATCCCACTAAAGTTCTATAACCTCAGTCGCTTATATAATAGAACTAGGTGTGTCAATACGTTAGGTTACTCGACAAATAGATCCTGACTATTGACAAAATGAAAAAATGAAGAAAAGTTTTCATGCCAAAATAAATATCTATGCCATTTAAAGCTTAATCTCTCTCTATTTTTATTTAATTACGCAATATTATTAATTAATGCCATAAATTAATTATTTTAGAAAAAATAATTAAAGAATTTTTAATTAACAAAATATACTTTTATGAAATACATAACGTAATGTTTATATCGAATATGTAAATGACTTCTATAAATTGCATAAACCTCAGCGATATTCTTATTACATTAGACCAATATCATTCGAAATATTTGAACCATCTCGCGCATTTCCGTTTTTGCCTTATCAGGAAAGTGGAAAAAGGAAGACGAAGATGTACGATTGCACAGGAACACGCGGTGTTCATATCATTTGCCAGTGAGAGAATGTTACAGAACAACCAGAAAGCAATGGAGACGTATAATACGTATGGTGCACATCTTGCAGCTGTCAAGCTTTCACAAAATTAGCGAGTTAGAAAAGCAGGCCACTTAATATTCTACATATGAAAGTATATGCATTAGGACTTTAGTTTCAACAATTATGCTATATATATTTAGTGTTTCAAAATAGAAATTATTAATTAATCATGATCTAAATGGTTAACTAATTAACTATTTAACTCTTGTTTGTTAAACAATAAGTATATAGTCAAATACAATGATTATATTATTATATTCCAAATTACTTTACACTCATATGATCAGTTTACGTGACATCTCGTGGTAATAATCGTATACGATTGTAACACGAACATTTTTTCGAAGCGTAAAGAGATGAGGTAACGAGTATGGACACGCGATTTATCATAACAACGGGGAGAAATAGTAAGGCATCAGTACATCTTGTGTTTACTGAATGCAGAAAAATATGCCTGTGCGTGCAAAATGCACCTGCGAGATGCAGTTAGCCGCATTGACCAAGTCTCAGTTACGTTATATTCATTAACAAAGCAAAATGCACGCAGATTCTATACACTCGCCATATTTTTCACAGCGGTGAAATGAGAAGAGGTAGATTCTACATACGCTCGATCAGAAAATATTAATTTGTTAGGAGATAGATTGATATACATGTAACCAACGTCATATTTACGCTGTGTTAATTTGTTAAAAAGTGTTAGAACATATTTCCTCATTTCTGGAAATATCTAATTATTTAATTTTTCAGCAAAATAAGAAAAATACGAAAAGCTTCTTCTCTTTAAAATTATATACATATAAATCGAGCTTTGGAATACAACGTGTACTGTATGTACATTTATTTATTAATTACGTATATTTTAAGTGTTAAAATTTAGTAAAAACAGTTTGAAAGTTTACTTCTTTTCTAATAAACAATTTAATATTTTATTACTTATTATTTCGCACTGAGAAAAAAAGTGTTGTATCATAAAAATATTTCTTGATTCAATTGCGACGGAATGTCAAGCAAATATTTGTTAACTCACAAAACACTTGTTAATTAAAAAATATATGAAAACATGTTAGAATAAATGAATAATTATTTAAGACCAATGAAAGTAAGTCAATTAAGAAATGCTAATTATCGGTCAGAGCAAATTTTTTGTAGCTTAATAATATTGTGTGAATTTTTCTATACTTGTTTCAAACTCAATCAGCTGCGCGCCGATTTTTTCTCGGACTTAAAACTTAAAACTCGGACAGTTCCGTAATTTGTTGGAACAGTAAATTCACATACTTCAGTTGATAAACGATTAAATTTTGTATGCTCATCGGCAACTAATTAAAAATCACAGTAAAGAATTTATTGCGGAAAATATTACCTCAGCCTTTGAACCTGGACCACCTCTAAACCGTAACAATGTGTATGTGTGTGTGTGTGTGTCAAAATCAATTAATAAAGAAATGCCAATATTTATCGCAATAAATTCTTCACTGTGATTTTTCATAGAATGCGAATCAGCATAAAAAAATTAAATCGATTTAAGTATATGAATTTACTACTCAAATAAATTATGGAGCTGTTAAAGTTTTGAAGTTAGGCAAAAAATCGGTGCGTACTTAGTTTATTGAGTTTTGGAATAAGTATACACAAATTCTCACAATCTTATTAGCTTACGAAGAAGCAGCTCTGACCAACAATTAGCATGTCTTAAAAAAAATACACGTTTCGATAAATAACGTATGTTTAATTAAAAAAACACATATGTATTTGAACTAAAGAAGTACTGCCAATCAAACATATTTGGTAATATCAATATTTCTTTCTCAACATTTATACCGTGGTACTTGAAACTTTTTGTGCAATAAGTTAAAAAGTTAAAGAAGCACAAAGGAAAGAGAAAACGCTAAGGCTTACATAGAAATACAATTTTTGCAACATCTTGAAAGGAAATAACATTAATGACATTTCGATGCGACTGAGGCTCCCATGCTCACGATGCATAGAAGTCCCGTTAACATGTGCGCGATTTTGCGCATGTTGCACAATTACTTACAATTACTTGATTGTACAGAAAGTAGAATCTTAACGACGTTTCGTGAAGATGATGATTCTAAATTGCAATGGATTGGTTTTTTTTACTTCAGTTTTTATATTATATAACAGTTGTATAATTTATGATATTTTAAAAGAATATGCTAATAAAGAACAGGCGACACATACAAAATAACTAAAATTGTAAAATTGTGAATGATTATTGCTAATGGAATATAATAATCATTGAAATAACATTTTAGAATAGACCGTACATAATGTTATTGTACATATTTTAGCTTCTTTTACAAAAGTGTTGAAATAATTAGCTTTGAAGCAAATATGGAACATAGAAATTACTGAGCGGATAGGTAGTGTACACGCTTAGCGACAGCAATTACAAATCTGTACAAAGAGAGAAACAGTTCGAGTTGACAGTTATAAAATTAAAATTACATAGTATTACTGAAATAATTGGCCACATCATATAATTCCATATTATTATATCGCTAATATTATTTCAGTTATGACTGACTTGAATCTGTGGAAATATAATAAAAGCTTTATCACTTTAACTTTTGAACCTCGTTCTGTATATTGGCGAAATATGTTTGCACGGGATTGGGTAGTGTCCAGTTAAAAAGTTAAAAAGTTATTTTAACTTAACTCAGTTACATTATAAACTGTTAACTTTTAACATAATTTAGTTACATTTTATCGGTAACTTGTAATTTTTAACTTACTTTGCTTAAAATTAGCCATGCCATAAACAAAGGCGTCGCGGGAAGCCGCGCACCTGCCAACACTGGCAGTTTCTGTGTTCCAAAATTTACTGTGCTAAAAATTTACAGTGAACGTTACGTATACACTAGGGATCTTCAGCGCTGGCAGTGTATTTTGGAACACAGCCATTATATGTATGGGGCTTTGATTCTCGAACTCACATGAATTTGTTCACATATGGAACGGGCCATTCCGTGTAGTGTAATTGATTGTCCAAACACTGGTCGTCAAATTCAACGCAATTTACGTGATTGCGAGTCTCTGACATTTTGTGTAAAAATTAAAAAATTTAACTTTTAACCTTTTAATTTCTTTTTATTATTAACTTAACTTTTAATTCAATTAACTTTATTAAAGGTTTACTTGTATCTTAATTAAATTAAATTTTCAAGGCTGTTAACTTTAACTTAATTTAGTTAACAAAAGATAACTTGCTCAATCCTGTATTTGCATTCTACTTTTGAGAGTTTTCTAAATAAAATATTCAATACATAATAATAATCCAGTTTATCACATTGTAAATGTAATAACAGGTTTACATGTTTAATGAGTAAAAACTAGGAAGTCTCGAAAACCGAGGTAGAAACTAAGCAATGGTGCCTAGCGCTAAACATGCTATTTAGCGTGAATAGCGTGAAACACGAGCAATATTCTGTACAACATACTTTTCGTAATCTTATTAAAAATTATTCATAAGTGTATAAAATTATAAATTATTAAAACTTTTCCTATCGTAAGGCACTCTAAAATTTCCTGAACAACTTTATTCGAAATAAAAGAGAACTAATTCTAACATCCGTCGTAAAATTTTGTGGTTCAAGTTTCTTTCGTATCTACGAATTTCTTAAAAGAGAGTAACATGATTTTAAAATGTAACAGTTTATATAAAATGACTAGAGAATATATTCTCCGATTTTGGGAGGTTTCGTCCCAGTTTGGCTTTCTATTTCTCGTCGTCGAAAGCATAGCTGCTACAGTTTAGAAAACTGGATACACAGACTATGGGCAAAAGTGATATAGTATCGGCCGCGCTGGTAAACGTTGGGAGAAAGAGAGAAGGATTCATGGGAGTGGGGAAAAGACTGCCATACAGAGTAGGAACGGTGGTAGAGAGCCACGGCATGGTGGAAGTCAGCCACGAAGACGTGACGTACATACTCGGCAGTGCACGGTGTACCATAGCTATGGCATAGTTAAAGTGGGAGAAACCGCGTATGACCGTCCTCAGCCTGAGCCAGTCTCGTGTGAACGACCGTGAAGTGAACCTCGGGTGGTGCACGCTCAGGACCTTGAGTCCTCTTTGCACTGGGACTCAGGAGCCTCAGCAGCTGCTGCACGACGGGAGTGGACAGAGTCGTTTATTCTTAAAAAGAAATTCCTTGCTCCGGATTCTTTGTGAACCTTATTTCGGTCTTTACTGTGTGTCGAGTGCTGAAAGATTGCACCAAGGTGTTTCGAATGTGAGACGTAACATCAAGAACCTTATTGTTTCAACGATATTCAATTTGTTGATTGATTTCTTATTGATCGCCTAAAGAAATCAATTGTGATCACTTCAAAACCGTGACCATCATTTTGTAAACTTACTACCTTGTCGTGCTACTCGGTATCAAAAGTGTTCTACACTTCAATCAGGCTGGGAAGTAAACTTAAACTCTTATACGACTCCATAATCGTGAAATTAAAAAAAATAAGACAGACGTTTTCTAAAAAAAAGTGATACTTATTGTTGAAATCACTTTGTTAAGTGTTGTCGGACCGTCTTGTATTTTGAAAACTTTACAAATGGTTATTTACAAGTAATTTATTTGGTAGTAATTTACGAATTTTGTGAAGTGGGCTTCTATCTCATCGAGTATTAAGTTAAAGTCCGGCGCGGCACATTGGTCAAAAACCTGACGTGTACACCGGTCTGATCCGCCGCCAAGTAGGTCAACCGGCGTGTGCGAGAGCGCGAGACTGAGTGAGAGAAAAAAAGAAACACCACCGGTGGCAGGATAAGGGGTGGAGGGAGGGAGAGAGAGAGAGAGGCGAGGGAAAAAGAAAGAATGGCGTGCCGCAGGCAGCGCCCGTGAAGACGACTATCCTGATGTCCAGCGGCTCGCTGTAGGCTTGTGATCCAAAATGGCGGACATCGATAGGCACCACAATTTGCTTCGAATCGACGACGACCGGTCGGAGTGCACGGAATCCTGAAGAAGAGATCCACGTGGTATCGCGTCCTTGACACACGCATCCTTGATCTTGCTAGGAAAAGCGCGGGGTTGCGAGAGCAATCAATGACGATGGCGGGACCTACTGGGTCGAAGGTCCTCGTGACCTTGACGATCCTGGCACTGCTCGGTAAGTCCGGGAGAGGAAAGGTTGGGATAGGGTATGAGCCAGGAAGTGGGGATGAAACCAATAGGCATGGAGTATTTGTGTTAAATACGACGGGCTCCTAAAGCGTCTTAGAATTTTAAAATTTAACCAAATATTAAATATACCCATTTTAATTGCTAGGCCGCCCCCTCCCATTTTAATCAGAGCAGTAAAATTACGTATATTCGATGGAAGCATATAATTTGATACGTGATTATAACTGCCTTTGTTTGTAAATATATAATTAAAAAATAATAAAGTGCAGTTAAAAATATAGTCAGCGTTAGACAAAATTAGTTATTAGTATATCCTGCCTAACCCATACACATAAAATATGAATTGTGACAGACCGAAAGATTCGGTGGAGATCTCAATGATCGCAAAGCAGTGTCGTTGCGGTGACATTAACGCCCAACTTAAGTATGTCGACGTCGTTCACTCGCGAGATAATTAATGCAATTGATAAAAAAAATACAGTCTCCTGAAACGTATCTTGAACCTGTCCGATAGGTTTTTAAAGCCGGCGGCATGTGTCGGCATGTCCGAAACCGGTATCTTGACCTCCGCCGAAAAATTTGGCAGGTTCAAGAATGCTATGTCGACTCTTCATCGATTCGCACGTGGCTATTAAGTAATTGAGGAATATTTTATCGCTTCCCCGTTGTACGTAACGTCTGTAAACTCTACGAGGGTCCCGCCAGGATAGTTATACATATACTTATGCATGATGAATATTGATCTTCATTTTTTTGAAGAACATGTTAAGAATTTATGCAAATGCGGCGCTGCTGCGTAAATAAAAGTACGTCCGGTTTCGCAGCGGTGTACGCGTCAGTGCTACCTGAGGAGATAAGCGCTGTCGTATCCGTGTCGTGCCACCGCACGTCTGGCTTCGATTCTACGCAAATCCTGCTCTACGTAAAATCACCTACGCGAATTCAATTGACGGGATACTTACATCTGCGATTATAAAGTGTATATACATGTAATCGTGGGACCACATGGCATTTTCAAGAACTGTGTGAGAGTTTTTTTTTAAATTTTACCATACATTCTACTAGTGAAATGTTAATTAATAAAACATCTTTGTTGTTCCGTGCGTTTCTACTTCCTAGTTATTGTCTGCACGGACAGAATTTTCTCTCTTAACATTTATCCTGAAAATTATGAAATCGTGGGACAACATGACATTTTAAACAACTGTTGTACATTTTACTAGTAGGATACGTGGTAAAATTTCAAAAAAACCTCTCATATAAGATTCTCCGAAATGCCATGTTGTCCAGCGATTACATGATTTTCAGGATAAAGTTTAAGAAAAAATTCTCTTCCTGTAGGCGATAACTATACAAAGTACAAAGAGAGAATGTTCTCTTAAAATTTATCCTGAAAATCATGTAATCGTGGAACAACATGGCGTTTCGAAGAATTTACATTCTACTAGTAAAATGTATGGTAACATTTCAAAAACTCTCATAAAGTTCTTCAGAATGCCATGTTGTCCTACGATTACATGATTTTCAGGGTAAACTTTAAAAGAAAATTCTCTCCGTGTAGTAACGCACGGAAAAACAAAGATGTTAAATCAGAGTTTTATTAATTAATATTTCTAATTAATATCTCGTCGTGTACGTCGCGAAGTAAACAGCTGCGCAAGAAAGTGTGCGACGTTGCCCCGCGATCACTTAAGAAGAATTGAAACATTTTCGGAGGTTTCAGATTAAAAAGCTGGCGACGCGATTACGAAACGTGTACACGCGTACGCAATTTGTCAATGCGGCCCGCATAAAATTTTAGAGATCGAATGAGTGGCCAATATTTTTCCTCGTTCGTGTTTCACCACCTGCTTCTATATAAAATGGAGACAAACGGAGCAAACGTGTGTAACACTCTTTTTACCAGATTTATAGTCCACGCGAGGCAAGTGTTCAATATATTCACATTGAGCCGCATTAAATGATCTTAATTGTGTCGTTTGAACATATATTGTAGTTATTACCTTGCGTATTAATTGTGTTTCCAATAATTAAGCTGCAAAAGTTTGTTACGTTTTTACAAAATCTTATTTCGTTCATTAATTTGATTATTTCAAAAGCACGTATAGCAGACATTTCGACATGTCAAGAATATTTAACCATCGCTGAAAATTTATGCAAATTTCATGAATTTAATTTCGCGCATTTCACTCGATCCGCATCTGTACGCGAGTCATTGAGGCTGTGCGATCATTATTGCATTTCACGCATTTTCGCTTATTAGCGTTTACACTTTACAGCACTAATATTGAATTCTGCGTCTCTTCGCGTGCATATCAATGCCTGACGCATCGCAATCCATTTCGCGTTCATGGAATTAACAATGATTTATTGAATTACGGGCTAATACGTTCGCAAAATGCTGAAATATCAGATCGGATGCCGTTATCGATTCACCGCGCGGTATCGATACCTATTCACGCTCGATGCCGTAAGCATTCCTTTTCACCGATGAAAGCCTCATCGACTGACGCATCACTCCCGTAGCTTTCATGAGTTTTACCGTCGCTATACCGGGCTTCCCGTTTGCGCAAGAGACATTTGCATGGAGCCACTAACGTCATCGCGAGCGCGCGCGCGGGAGCAACGACACCGCGAAACGTACATGTATATCCGGCATGGAGTTTCATCACTCCCTGACTTTCGCCCAACCGCACGAACCGTGAAAGTGTCACGAAATTGCCACGTATAAGTACAGTAAAACAAAAACGAAGTCTAGTTCAGTCCGCTCAGAGAATCGCTGCCTCGAAGATCTGCCGAGATAAGAGTCCATTTGTCTGCCGAATTTACGAGAGCGAAAGTCGAAAGTCGAATTTTCAGCGAGACCCAGCCTTACGGCGCGAAAGATGGGGAAGTGAAGTGTAATATCTCTGAAAGCGGGACGATTTTCTACTTATCGTAATATTTTCAGCAAAATTTAATGTAGTTTGCACAAAGCGAGATAACTCGGGACGTCAGTTGCGAAAAATTGCGACGCTCCGAAACGTAATTTAAAGTTTTACTGACGCCTCGCGAACGCTTCCGTATAACGTGAGAATTGTTTCACGGTGACATTTATGGACTACCTCGAGGAGTCATACGGGATCGCGTGCACTCTCGTCACGTCATCACCTACGATCGTAAAACAATACATGCTCGTTTGAGGCAGTGTCACTTTCACGTGACGTCGATTTGCATATATGTGTAACATCGATTCTGCAACTCCGCGTTGTCGGATTGTACCGCGCGGGTACGAAATGTCGCGTTTACCAGCGAAAAGAATGAATATTGGGCTGGAATGGGGTACCGTTAAGTCTGCCGTTACCGCCTCGAGAGACGGCACAGTGCACGGTATACACGTCCTCCATGGGTAACCCTTGTCGGGTTTCTTTCCTGTTTCTTATGGTTTGCGCTAGACGAAGCTTATCGACGTTTAGTCGATCCAAAAAAATAAAAGAAAGAATAAGGAGAAAAGCAATAAAATACACGGTAAAAAATTCCATATGTAAAATTGTAACTAGTAGAAAATATCAGGACCATCTGTTAAAGGTGTTTGTTCGCACAGTAAATTCATATCTCGTAAATAAAGTTATTAGCTTAATAAATGTTAATCTTGTAATTTTTCGTGAAATATAAACAATTGTTTTCACAGCATTAGTGAAAACACTAATTTTGGTGAAAGCACATGAATTTCCATCGTTAAAAGTGCAGCTGTTACACGTATTATTTATGTGACTTTACGTATGTTATTTTGCCATTATTTTAAATATGTGTCAATTGGAAATTGGAGAACCAATAGTGTGTCGAAAGAGTGGCGCAACAGTGGTACTCTTGACTTGACTCCGCTAAACAATACGAGATGATTACTCGAGATTTAACGTAAGAGCTATTATCGCGCGCGCGCATTATGGGAAATTCGCCGGGGCCGTGCGAACCGGATCGATCTTTTGAATTAGATAGGACAGGTCGCAGACTCCCATGCTTTAATCGGCCGCGCTTCTTCGGGTCACCTGTACGCGTAATCTGGTTAATATCGCCGGTGTTATCGACGGTAAGGAATTCGAGACCGGTAATATTTTTACAATTGCTCCTCCCTCTTTCTCACAGTCTCTCGCAGTCTCTCGCAGACGCGACGTAGCGGTTTCGCCATTAAGAAAACCTTCTCCGTGAAAAGAACTGTTCGTGTCTGTGGAAAATATGTGTTACCGCGAACAATTACCTTGTTTTCTAGCATTCAGTCCTTTACCTACAACCGTTTGTCGTGCTAAGCAACATGCGGTTTCTAAAGTAACTATAAGGATCTTATCTTTATAGTTACTGCCCACACCTCGTCGTCGTCTTCTATACCATGCGTTTTCCCGTAACGGCTAATAATATATTTACCGATTGCCAATTGTTTTTAAACCAAAGTTTATTGCGTGGAATATTTTATGTGCGCATTAAACTGTATTCAGCTTTGGAGCATTTGAAAAAAAAATATTTAATTAAAAACATTTTTTAAATACTTTTTACATCAGTATTATTATATTAGTTTTATTTTATTTTATTTTATTAGTATTATTTATTACCAAATATAAAAAGTTCACGACAATAACTGGCCAAGTATATTTCACTTAAAGTATGTACGACGTTTCGGCCAGTAACACTGGTCCTTATCAAGTACGGCCCATTACTAGTGGTAGCCAGAAATGGTTAACAAATTTATGTGTGTCACATTAGCTTTCCACAATACAAGACACGTTGACATGCTCGTTAAATGTCTTACTGTCTGTGGCAACTACGACTCTTGACCACGTTCTTCTTTTATAAATTTGTTAACCATTTCTGGCTACCACTAGTAATGGGCCGTACTTGATAAGGACCAGTATTACTGGCCGAAACGTCGTACATACTTTAAGTGAAATATACTTGGCCAGTTATTGTCGTGAACTTTTTATATTTGGTGTTTTTTATTCACTGGCGATCCAC